GCTGTGCTCTTCTGCGAGATAACTTTTGATAAAATGTGAATTTCTCGGGAAATAGTTTAAACACTTTTTAAACAAACGTCAAGTTATTTTCTGTCTTGTTTGCGGGAAGAATGCTGATGGCCAGGTAGGGCTTTGGAAGGGCGTAGCTTAGGGTTGTTTGCACACATTCTCGAAAAGCTTTCGCTTCTGGTGTAGCGGCGGTGATGATATCAAAGTGCATTCCAGCGAAAAGGATGGAGTGGAAGCTAATTGCTGGAGCTGAAAGGCTGTAATTTGCTTCTTGGCTTGTATCTTTGTTTGCTTTCTTGTAAATATTATTAGACCTCTAAGTGATGGCTTCAAAACTTCTGCTTCTCTGGCCTGAGCTGGGCTATGGACAACTGTAGAATGTGAAAAAAAGAATTTGCCTTTATATCCGCTTTGTGAAGTAGATTCTGTTGAAGTCATCACAAACTCATTGTCAGTTGTAGAAACAGTAAATTATATTAACTTCAATCTTGTGAAAGAATTTCTTAGAAACGTTTGTTTCTGGCAGCGTGTTAGTGGCAACAGAAATACCTGAATATGCAGAAAGCCGGCTTGATTGCGATATAGCGATAGTTTGCTATATGCAGAAATACAGTCGGTGTCTGCACCTCAGTAATGTGATCGGTCATGCATCTGTAAGTGAAATAGCAGCAGAAATTTCCTTTGCAGGTGGGCATATTCAAAGCTAGGTCTAGTTCCTAGTCCGTGTACCATCAGGTCCTGAAGTAATACGCTAACATGCCATCCGGGCCACACTGCTCAGATAATGCCCATCCTCAGTGTTGTGTTATAACATTCCAGCACGATGATGGATTGAAGAGTTCACCTGAGGAAATGGGCAGCTTGCTTGGAAGACACATTCTGAAGCTCTGTGTTTGACTAATTCCCTTCCTCCCTTTTGTCTCATGCTGGGTAGGTTTGAAAAAGGACGGATTTATACGTTTATTGGGGAGGTGGTCGTTTCCATGAATCCTTACAAAAACTTGAACATCTATGGGCGTGACATGATTGAGCAGTACAAAGGAAGGGAACTGTACGAGAGACCTCCTCACCTCTTTGCAATTGCTGATGCTGCTTACAAAGCGATGAAGAGGCGATCAAAAGACACCTGCATTGTAATATCAGGTAAGCCGAAAGAGCTTTTCAGTATGATGGGTGCTTGATCTTTGTGAAATTCTAGGCAGAGAAAGAAGAATGATTTGGCTAATGACAGCATTTTATAAAAGAAAACTTCATTAATCTTGAAACTGCTTATTTGCATTTGAATCCATGTGTGGAGACCTTGGCAATTATTTCTTACGGAATTCAAGAGCTGGTGTCAATCATTAGCTTCATCTGTGCATGCAAAGTGATAACTTGAACACGAGTGCTCTGCTTGCCCTGCCTGTGTGAATGGAGATCAGCGAGAACAGGGCTCCTGTCGCTAGAGAACTGCGGATTTTTGTCCCTTGGATGACTGGCCAGTGTTTTGTTCTCTGTTTGGATGGCCGGACTGATTGCTTGTCATGGCTCTAACAGTGGGAGCAGTGCTTGCACTGTCAGCGGTCGCTATCTGGATCCTGGCACGTCGTTTCCTTGATGTTCCCGTGCTTTAGCAGCTCTGAAAAGCGAGAGCCCCAAGATGGTGTGCTGAACAGTAGCCTCTTGTATGGCAGTTCCCGACGCTGCTGCCAGCCAACCCTCTGCACGCCAGGCTTTCTCCTCTAACAATATTCCTTTTGATCCCGTGTGCCAGGCCTGTTACCGACCTGTGAAATCTTACATCATAACTGCTTCTAAGTCAGCACAGCAGCAACAGCCAGGCAGGGTTATGGCTACATTTAGACTTCAAAATACACGCAAATAAGATTACTTTAAAAACAAAACCAAACAAGAACAAAAAATCCAAACACTCTCCGGGTAGAATTGACATCTACCATTCAATGGGTTGCTTTGCTTTTTCTGATCTGTTGTGTCATCTTTGTATTTATGCCCTCAGGTGAAAGTGGGGCTGGGAAAACTGAGGCCAGTAAATATATTATGCAGTACATAGCAGCCATTACCAACCCCAGTCAGAGAGCAGAGGTGGAAAGGTAAGGGCTTTGCAGAAAAAGAAGTGACATTGTTTTGTTTATGGATCTCTTTCTGTGGACTGGGCAGCACCATGTCATTAGATGGTCTCTTTTACTAATTGCATGCCGATTTTACAGCATTTACCTGACTTCTTCAGATACTACTTTTACTCTGGGATTTTTGCAATATTGATTGCTAAAATCATGTAAAAAAGTTTATTTTGAAAGCTTAAACTTTCAAAATAAAACAGTCTCTAGAAGTCATGTTACCTGTGGCAAATCACCTGAAATATGTGTACGTTAGGATAGCGTGTTGAGTGCAAGGAGCAGATTCCCTGACCTTTCGGGCTTGCATGCTCCTGGATTGCAAGATGTTCCTGTCAGCCTTAGAGTATAAGTTTTTGAGCAAAGCATGTGACTTTCTGCTGAAAAAGACTTAATATCTACCCTGACAAAAATTTGAAAATTACTGGCAAAAGAGTCCAAGGAATTGGTTTCAAAACTTACATATCTGAAGGAACTGAATTTTTGATGCTATTTTCGAGGGGGGATCTGGTCTTTGGTTCCCATTTGCTGGGCTCTAAGGGACGTTACCGAAAGCTCCCGGCTGATTTCCCGTGGGATTGCTAGTGTAATATGTGTCTGCCCCATCAAAGAGCATCTCTGCTGCTACTAAATTCTTCTCGAGAAATGCCTGCAAAAAAAAATTCCGTGGTTTGAGTATATGAGTCTGGACTTACCTTGTTCTCTTTTCCATTTATCTGTACTACAGAGTGAAGAACATACTCCTGAAATCCAACTGTGTGTTAGAGGCCTTTGGGAATGCCAAAACAAACCGTAATGACAATTCCAGCAGGTTTGGAAAATATATGGATATCAACTTTGATTTTAAAGGAGACCCAATAGGTGGGCATATCAATAATTACTTACTAGAAAAGGTAAGCCACGCTCACTGTTAAAGAGTCAGAGGCTTTTGTGTGGTTACTTTTGCAATATGTGCTTTGCCATTAGAAAGTTTTGCTTTCAACTTGGTATGTCAACAGCTGACGTGTGAGGGCATAGAACCTCATTAAATCTGGGGCTTAATTTTTCTTCGAGAGTTACTAGAAGTAACTGAAATGCTGCTGAAGCACTGGCAGTGCCGTTGCTTTAACACCACTGCTTTCGGAGCTCACCAGGTAAGGGACTAGTGTTACTCAGAAGCTTATGTGCATACAGGTGCATGTACTTTGTATCCAGAATAGAAGCTGAGATTAATTTAACATCTGTAAAACTCCTCCTTTCTAAGTTCCCGCATTGAGATCTCACTGGTGAATGAAAGGAGAAGACACCTAGGTCTGTGAGTAGCAATGGTATGCTAGAGAAGTGTTGTTCTGGAGTAATACCACAACCTTGTGTGATCTTTTAGTAACTTTGTTGTTATATATTTCAAGTAATCCTAAGCATAATTAATTTTTTCATGTTATTAAGTGGTGGCTGAAAACAATGGAATATGTAAATCTCTGTGGAGGAAGTGAGCTTGATCTATTAACAGTTCTCGTTATGTGGGAGACACGCGTCTGGCTTTAATTTATATGTTTGACCACATCTGCTAACATGCTTTTTTGTTTGTGTTTTTTACTTTTCCCTTTATTTCCCTAAAGTCTGTTTTCAGAATAAACACTTTATTTTAACAAACAGAACAAACCCAAACATTTAACATGTGATACTTTCATGCAAAAAAGGGGTGGGGCTGCAGCTGCAGTGACTTAAATCCTCATCATTTATTTCATAGTCTTGATTTCTACCAAGTTAAATTTGTTTCCATTTTGAACGTAGCTGAGGTTCTGGTCTGAACACGAGCAGTTAACGGACAGTGACTTTGCACTGCAGCGGGAACCCGAGCCTCGTCACTCTCCAGAGTTGAAGCTTGTAGAATAAAACAAGGATACGTTTCTTGTTGGCTGAATTTCTGCTGCATTTAACTTTGGGGGTTTTTTTTGATGCTGTTGTACACCGATTTGGAATGAGTGCTCTGAAGATGGAGCTGTTGCTTGCTCCCTAAAACACTGCCCTTGTGTTAGAGCAGAGCGTTCCCTTGTGCGGTGGCTGGGTGCTGATGGTCAGCCTGGGCTGGGGTTGCAGAAGTGGTTGCCGTAAGGTGCTGACTGTGGCCCATGGAGCATTTGTTTGTAGTCAGAGTCCTGTTTTTCATTTCCAGCGATTAAATAACTCTTAAACTAAAATTACGTTGTATTTGACGGCTCCAGGAAAGCAATTCTGTAGTTGCCACATGGGATTCCTGGTGGGAAGTAGGACATTGCAGCTGTTAGGCAAGCTGGTCATTTTGATTATAGACTTCAAACTCCATGGTCATGCCTAGCTAATAATGTCCATAACAGACTTATTGTAAGATAAGGTTAGTGTGGAGGTGTCCTAGCAGTGGGGAACCGATGCATCGGGGAGGTGCTGGGGAAGCAGGCCGTCCGCATCCAGAAATACATATCTTTGGATTTTGTTTCCCCACAGTCTCGTGTGATTGTGCAACAGCCGGGAGAACGAAGCTTTCATTCTTTTTACCAGGTTTGTATTCATTTGCTGAAACAAATGACTTCTCTCAAGTTTCCCAGACATGATAGGCAAAATATTTAAAGCTTTCACCCGCTTGTGTGTTTTGCAAAGGGTTCCCTTGTTGTTGCAGCTTGGGTGATCTCAGGTTCTTTAGTTCTTTGAAGAGGCCTGGTCTGGGGAAGGAGCATGGGAAGATTTATTTTTTTCTATTCTCCAGTCCCGTATTAACACATTTGTAAACTTAAAAGGAGGCTAACTAAACAAATGTGGTACAATATTGGACTTTGACTCGCTGTTTTATTTGTAGTAAGTCTAATCCCTTTGTTTTCTCTTGAGGCCTTTATTCCGTATGGAAGTAATTTTATGACACCAAGTTGACTTTTCTGGGGAGGGCGGTTCTTTTTAATGTCTTCCATATTGTATGGGGGTTCCCTTGTGTGCCCTTTGGGGGAAATGGTTGGCCTATTAGTATAACCTTTATTCTCAGTTTTGCAGTGAGGGAAACGAAGGTTTATTTGTTTTTTCCCCACTTATTCAGCACTCCATGATGGCGTGTTAGCACTTTCTCATGAATGTGTCATTTCTGTGTTGGAAAGTCTCTGTGTACAGCAGAGAAAGTAAACGTGCTTGCCAAGACACACCTGTGGCGTGTCACAGATGTGAACCTGCCTGGTCTGTGAAGAGGTTCAGGCTTGTGTTCTAAAAGGTTGTGTCACTCAACAGGGCAGTCACTGAGGCAATCTCTCTGTGGTGGTCAGAGCCCTGCACCGATGCAGACTGTGTATTTTGCCCATGTTGTGCTTGTGACTCTGCATACTGTAGCAACAGTACAGTGGTTTTATGATTTTGCTTGTCAAGCAGATCAATAAGAAACAAAAAGGATGGATTTTATTTTTTTTACTCACCATTTCTTAAAATACTCTTTGTACAGCTGCTCCAGGGGGGTTCGGACCAGATGTTACGCTCTCTGCATCTTCAGAAGGATGCATCTGCATACAGCTACATCTGTCCTGGAGCACAGCTAAAGGTGAGGGTGTTGTCAGGGAGTTAGAGGTAACTTGTCTTGAACTTGTAAATGCTTCTTGAAATACTTAAAGTACTGCTGAGCTAGCAGAAGCAGAGACCAGTATTTACAGGATGCATATGGAAAGGTGACACCAGTGGGCTATTTGTAATGACCCTAGAAGACCAAGCATACGCGTAGTTGTGCATACTACATTGTGTCTGCTTATAAAAAGCAGTAAAATGTCGTAGGAGACATCGTCTTTGTTAACAAATGCAGGTGTAGGTATTTGACCCATTACCAGTGACATACTCCTCGTGCCCCACAATGAGTAACTTCAGCTGCTTTCTAGGCCAAAAAGCCACGAGGACTCATTATTTTACAGTGGGACTATTGAACTTACTGAAGCATTCATTCTTCGTACCTGCCTTGTCCTTAAGGGGGCCTGTGAGGCGAAAGAAGGGAGCAAACCCATTAGGACAGCGCTTCAAATACATCTGGAGTTGTCCCTGAGGTTGTCCCTCTGAAGCAGGGTCTGGACAAAAGGCTCACTGATTTCCTGTTTGCTTTCTTGAGGTGCTCTTTGGCAAACCAACCCACAGACCTGCTCAGATGCCTTCATCAGTTCCTCTAGAAATCTGCAGTGGAAACAAACCCAGATGATGGGGGGGAGGGAGGCAGAAGCTTATCTTGAGAAAGATGGTGACCAGAAATTTACTGCTGATGTTTGCAGCTTCTACTCAGAGGGTCTGTGACCGCAGTACTTGTAACTATTGTTCTGATTTTTTTGTGAATCACTTCTGCTCTTTCACAATAAATTCCACTGGGAGAGTACTGAACTATTTAGTCATGCTGTGATGGATTTCTGTATCTCGTTGCTGCTAGTATACATGTGTGTCCAGTGTACAAGCGTACAGTGTGGCATTAGAGTAAGCTGAGAAATCTCATGACAGCGTCTTGCATCTGAAAAATAGCAAAGTACATACCTGTTTCCCATGTGCTTGCAGAATCTTTGCTTTCTCACAGCTCACTTCCATTAAGCCCCTCACGTCTCAAACATCTCTTTCCCCTCAGTGTTCCATCAGTGATGGTACAGAGTTCAAAGCAGTAGCTGATGCCATGAAAGTGATAGGCTTCAAGCAAGAGGAGATTCAGACTGTCTACAGAATTGTGGCAGCCATTCTTCACTTGGTAAGCTCTCTGCCCGCAGGTGTGAGTAGGCTGTTCTTAGGAGGGGTCGAGCAGTATCCTTGTACTTCCAGCAGCTCTATTTTTCCTGCTGCAGAAGCATTTGGAAGATCTGTTGGCTGGAAAAGTGTATATGGTTACAACTTCCAGTGGTGACTGAAATTCCATGATGAAATAAGACACTGCAGTAATGATGGAAGATCACATTTATTCCTGCAGATTCCAGATCCCAAACAGACGTACCACTAAGTACTGGGAGCTGTTAAGTATTCTGAAAAGGAACTGTTTGGGTTTGGCAGTGAGAGGGTAGGGAGCTCTCGCCTCGCTATCCTTCTGTCTCCTCTTGCCCTCACACTCGCCATCACCACTGTGGTTTTGCTGGAGGAATGGTGCTTCGCTTCATGGTGGAGGCTTGAGGCAGAGCTGGATACAGGAGACCTTAATTCTCTGTATTCCGATGTGAAGGAAATCCTTCCGTCACCCATATTCTCCTGGGACCCACAGAGCCTCCTCCCCTGCACAGTGCCCCTGTAGCTCGGCGCTGATGTTTCCTTGAGGAGAGAGGCACTGCAGGTGGGCAGGAGGAGGAGGATGGCAAAGAAAACTGCAGCTTGTTGGCAATTCTTGCTCCTCCTTGGGATAGCTGTGCCCCAGTGCTGGGGAAGGAGTGGAGGCAGAGCCCAGTCAGGCCATGCAGGCAGGGTGGGAGATCACCCCCTCCTGCAGACCGTGCAGTGGTGTTGCTGCTTAATCCCAGCACTGCAGGTGTTCGGTAGCAAATCTGGTGGGCAGTGTGCTGTCAGTCCAGTCCTGTCAGCCGTCCTGGCTTGTCGGCTGCCCAGAATATTCACCTCACCTTTGTGGGCAGTGGCATTACGGTAAGAACTGCAGCCCAGCGTTTCTGTGGCGAGCTGCGGTGAAGATGCAATGCTATATCCAGCATTTATGTACTTAATCCAATCTCTCAGCACTGGCCTCTGAATCTTGAGACAGTGTTTGATTAAACCTCTGGAAGTGTTTGGTGTGATTTTTTTTCCAAAAGCTGATGTGAACACCGAGCAGGAAGGCTTTTCTTGGAGTCAGGCTTTGCTGCTTCCACTGGTGTTGGAGCTTTGTGGGTAGGAGGGTGTGCAAGGCCCACCCTCTACTGTGTTAGGAGATTTACTGACTTGAATAGCGGGTGGCCTGTGGATGAACTTGGGGTGTACTGATTCAGATTAATAAAAGACAGGTTGAGAAATCTAGTTTTTTTGCTATTTATTGCAGGGGAACTTGAAGTTTTCTGTGGATGGTGATACAGCTGTAATAGAAAATGGCAAGGTTGTGTCGATCATCGCAGACTTGCTGTCAACAAAATCTGACATGGTGGAGAAGGCTCTTTTGTTTCGAACGGTAGCGACAGGTCGGGATGTCATTGACAAACAACATACTGAACAAGAAGCCACCTACGGCAGAGATGCCTTTGCAAAAGTGAGTTTAAATTTCCTTTCTCTGCATCTGATTACATATGTGACAGTAACTCATACACATTTCTTTTGCTTTTGCCTTTTGGTTGAGTTGTGGTTGGTGCAGCACAGAATGGTGGTGCCTGCGGAAGCCATTCGATATTGAATTGCCTTCATAATTGCACATTTTTCAATGCTCAGGTCCCAGCAGGGTTCCTGGGTGGATCAATTAATATAGTGCTTGCTGAGGCACAGGAAGTCCATACTTCATGTGGATTTATTTCTAAATGTACGCGCTCCTGTGTTCTGTAGGGGATTGCAGAGCAGCACCATCCCTGCCCTTCCTGGCTCCGGCACAGCACGCACCGCAACCAGCAGTGCTCTGCGGCACGCGAAGAGGGGAGGGAGCTGCGAGCATGGCTTGCTGGCATTTGCGAAAGGAATGCATTGTACAGGGCTGAATGTTTTGTGAAATACCATTCTTGACTTCATTTACCAGTTACATTCAAAGAGTAGAGAGTGGAGCTGTGACATCTAGAACTCAGGCTGGAAAGGCAAAATGCTACCTTTTTCTTTTTTTTGAATGGTGGATACTGATAAGCAAAGGAGCGACAGTTGTCCTTCCTTCCCTGATACCTGTGCCTGCAGAACATTTCCTTTTTGAAAGGTGAACAGGATTATTTTACTGCCGTTGTGTTTGGTTGTTAGGTTTCTCTAACTGACCTCTCACTTGCTCTTCAATATTGTTAAAGAATTATCAGGCATGGAAGTTATTAGGCAACTGAAAACCAGGTTGGAATCAAATTAGGGGAACTGCTGTACCTAGTGACCTCACTAGGATTTAGACTTCATGTAAAGGAGTTTTGGAAGAAAGAAAAGTGTTCACAGAATATTTTCTTCATGTGAGCAGCTGTTCACTTTTAGCAGAACGTTATCTGTAGCTTTTGTGTAGTTAGGGCAGCATCTTGAATTAAGCTTTGTAGCACCACGTGTTGCGTTTACCAGAAAGAACAGCAACAGATGCGGGCAGAATTCCTCAGTGTTTGTGTCCTGGCAGGCTATATACGAGCGGCTCTTTTGTTGGATTGTGACACACATCAATGACGTGATTGAAGTGAAGAACTACGACACTACAATACATGGGAAAAACACAGTCATTGGCGTCCTGGATATCTACGGCTTCGAAATATTTGACAATAACAGGTGAGCCAGGTTGTTCAAGTGCGGTGCTGCGCCTGCTCCTTCCCCAGAAAACTCATCACCTTTTTTTCTTCTGTTTTTGCAGTTTTGAGCAATTTTGTATTAATTACTGCAACGAAAAGCTGCAGCAGCTCTTTATTCAGCTGGTTCTAAAGCAGGAGCAGGAGGAGTACCAGCGAGAGGGAATTCCCTGGAAGCATGTGAGTGAGTTGGCAGGGGAGGGAGAGGTCGGTCTGAGGTCAGTGTACCAGCACAAGTCCCAGATCTAAAGTTGCTCCACATGTAGGCTTCTGTCAAAGGCGACAGGGCATCTGTGTCCACACCAGCTGTACCGTCAGACTTGCTGTCTGGAAATCGGGCTGTGGAGCAAGCTAACCAATTATCTTACAACATTTCTTTATTTGCCATAGTTTGGGAAAGGAAGTGACTCCAGGTCTGAGTTAAAACATATTGTGGCATCTCTGTGATGCCACACACATCACTGTGTGTTTCTCTTCCAAGTGCTTATGGATTTTGTGTAGGCGTAGATATTCAAGTGTAAAAATCTTGAGTTCTCTGGTTCAAATTCCTTTCATAATGCCGAGGGCAAAATGCGCAGTTTTCACTGCAGTGACTGGGCACAGCTGAATTTTAAAAGACATTTTAGAGTCTATTCTGTAGCAGTTGATTTTTTAGCTGAGGTCTCGAGATTAGTGTGAGGTGTGGGAAAGATCACCTTCTCTGCTGTTCAGTGGTAGCAGAGTTGAGTTAGTGATCAACATATTGCAAGCTGATGGCTGCTGCTGTGAATGGCGGGCCCCATTCCCTCTGTCAGACACACGGCACTGTTCTTCAGTGACCAGCACCGGTCTCCTCTCTCTCCCTAGCCAAAGTCACAAATATACCCGATCTTTGTGTTTTGCAGATCGATTACTTTAACAACCAGGTCATCGTCGACCTGGTAGAGCAGCAGCACAAAGGGATCATTGCTATTCTGGACGATGCCTGCATGAACGTTGGAAAAGTTACAGACGAGATGTTCCTCGAGGCTCTGAATAACAAGTTGGGGAAGCACGCGCATTTCTCCAGCAGAAAGGTAACGTCTTCCTCTGTACCATCAAAACTTGCTCTTTTTCTGCGTGATACCTTTCCTGTTTTTTTAGGCGTAATAGAGTAAGAAAAAAGACTTGAAGGGTGGCTGGGGTTGGAGTCGTTACCTTCGAGTATGAAATGCGGTACCCGAGAGCAGCAGCCCCCAGACACAGAGCAGGCCGTCAGGCCTGGGTCCAGGTCGCGCCTCGGCCGGCCGCGTCTCCGGCAGAGGGAGCTGAAGGATGTGCGATGCGAGATCAGTTTTATTCCAGGCATAAAAGAAGCCTGAGCTCGTGCCTTGACATACCATGATGTCATCTGCAACCAATCGACGCGCGGTTTCGGCCCACGTGATGTTCTTCCCAGGCTGCTCTAATACATAGCGACAGAGAAATTATTCACACTTCTGCTTTATTACAGCACTGTGATTTTTTTTCATCGTCATTGGCTACAGAACATGTTCATCTCGGATTGTACCTATGATCACCCAGGCCCCTCGGTTTGCTTTGTTTTTGGTGCAATGTGCAAATTAAAAGGCTTTATTTATTCCTCACTCGGCAGCATATTGAAAACATGGTCAGCAGCCTGATGAATTTGAGAATCTTTGAGTAATCAAATAAGGGCCTTTCATTTATTGATGTCTCTGCTGAGAAAGGTTGTTTGAAATAAATCGCTCAGAATGCTGCTTTCCCTCTTCTCCCTCCCACCCCAGTACGGTGTTTTATGTAGGTCAGAAATACAAAATTAGCAAGGGGTTGTATAAGATATGTGCTAAAGGCTGCCTCCAGGGAGGCTGAATATAAACAATAGATGTGGCTGTGGCTTGTTTGGGTGGAGGTTAGGAAGAAAATAAAATACCGACTTTTTCTTCCCAGATGTGGCTTTCCCTCAGTGCCCTTAGCTGCAGCACGCCTGTCACCTCATCTGTCGCACGCGCGAGCTGAGCCATCTCGCCTTCCGCAATAACCTAGATTTTACGTGCTTAAGCAGCAGATGCATAGCATATTCTGAGTAAACTCATTGGAAAACAAGTATTTTCATGAAGCCTAGTCTGGATTTCTACATTTTAATGCAAATCGCTTCCTGTAGTAGTACTAATGGTTGTGGATAGTGAAGCCTGGGGGGATGGAGTCTTAAATCCTCTGCAGTGGGGCAGTGCGGGAAGTGGTCCAGTTTCTGGAGCTGTCGAGTCAATGGATGTAAGCGGGTAGAGAAAGGAGCTGAGTTTCTGTTCTGTCCTTGGTCCTGTGTCTGCTAAGGTGGCGTGGTTCCATCACGGAGAGAGCAGGTTTGATGTAGTGGGGCAGGGGACTGAATTTCATAAAGTATATGAGAGGCTATAAAGTAAAAATTTAAAAAATCATAATCTGTTTGAGTCCTTACTTTCAGGAGTCCCTTCACAGCATAGGAAACATTAAATGAAAATATTGCCAGTTGCAGCATTCCTCAGTAGGGGGTGACATTGTCAGAAAACTGTTTGCGCAGACTAGGAGGGACACAACGAGTACTGCTGTGAATAATGTTCATGGAGAGTACGATGTATCTTCCTGGCTTGCTAATTTCTAGTTTAAATCAATATAGCCTTGAAAAAATTGACCCATAAAACTCTCAGCATCATAATTTTTTTCCTCCCCCCTCTCGCATCTTTGCAGATGTCCTTTACCAGTATCAAATATATGTTCCTCAGTCCCATCTACAACTGCTGTAAGAAACCTGAGCTTCCTAAGCCAGCCTCTTCTAGCTTGAATGAAAGCAAAGGACTTGATTTCGTTTCATGATTTGCTTTTGTAGAGACTGCAGTAGTTCTGTCCAGCGACTGTAAAGTTCGGCGTAGATCAAAGCTGTTCCTAAAGAGTTAAAGTATGTGTGCTGCTGTGTTATGGGAACAGCTCCCATCTTTCAGCCTCAGTTAATGCTTCACTGCTGCCCTGTAGTGCGTGTTGCACACGGGCTCCATGTGGATAAGCTCTAAGGGGCTGCTGTGCCCTAAACAGTAGTGCCCTAGTTTGTGTACTGCAGGTCTGATCTGCTGCTGTCTGCTTGGTTGTCCTGGTGAAAGCCAAACAAACCAGGAAGAATACTGGCAAACACTTCCACTGTGAGTATTTGTGGCAAAATTTTATGTTCCTAGAGCATGGGTCGTCCTTCTCTGAATTGTCTAATGCTAATCTAGATCTGTAGACGTGCTAACTGTGCTGATAGTACTTCTCAACATTACAGCTTCACTTTCTCAACCTCTTTAAGTTTGGGTTTTTTCAAGTGACCTTATACTTCTGAAGGATCAAGTGCAGTGAGAGACAGTCTGTGAATTCCTAAATCTTCAAAGTGTGGCAAGTGTCAGTCTCAACAAACTGATTGTGAAGGGAAGAATATGAGAAGGTCTATTCCAGTCCACCTGCCGTAGTATCTTCCAAGATACTAGGCAATAGCGAAGGTCTAGTGGGAGAAGAACATAAGACAAAGATGTAATGATGACTTGATATGCTCCCAGTCTCCAGTGATCTGCAGTCCAGGAACCTCCTGAAGCAGGGGTGATGTCCTTAATAGGTTTTTTCCTTCCTTTATAAAAAAAGAAAAAAAAATTGAGAAAGAATTGTACAGCTTAGGCGTCTTCACATGGATATCTTTCCTCCCTCTTCCCTTTGCCTTTTAGGTTACGTCTGTTGCCTCCTAGTGCTTGAACAGCAAAACATGGTTTGCTGTCTTCCAATACATCATCTGCATGTCGTTTGCCATCGTCTCATGGCGCTTCTTCCATAACCTGGAGAGACTTGGTTCATTTGGCCCTTCCTCCTGGAGCAGTCAGTCAGTACTGTTGATTGTTCTTGTCCTTCATCAAGCCTCTTCCACTTCTCCTGTGTCCTTTTTGAGATAGAGAGTAGTTAAGGTCCGTGTTGGGTTGGGAATGGACAGTTTGAGGCCCACCATTTGCTATGAACTTTGGCTTTTCTGTGTGCATAACTGGATTTATGTTCATTTGCTCTTCTTTGCCATTCCATTAGCCTCTCATGTCTTCCTGCAGTTCTTCGCAGCCAGCCATTGTCTTTACTTCCCTGAGCACCATCAACAAGCCTGATGTGGTACTGTTCACCTTCCTGTTGCCCTCAGGTCGTAGCTCATTTAAGACAATGTTAGCAGCATAGATCTCAGCCCAGGCCCCTGCAGGATTCGTTTCCCGCCTTTCCAGCAGTTATCTGTCTGAGGACCCTTGCTCTTATTTTTCATAGCAGCTGAAATTCTTTCAGTTGCTAGTGAGGAACCTTGTGAAAAGTATCGTAGAAATCCAAGCAGACTACCAACTGTATCAACACACTTGTTGGTTTGTTTTCTTTTCCCAGTAATTTCAACTGATCTACACAGTAGACACGAAGTTCAGAGAGAGTCAGGCCTTACAAAAACCCTAGCCTCACGTTCAGCCACCTTCCAGTCTCTTCGGTACTGGATGAGTTCAAAGTGAGAAGCTCGTGCAGCCAACCGTGTCCTGTCTGATAGCAACAGTTGCTTCGTTTCATGATGGTTTCACCTGTTGTATACCTCTTCTGTTGACACGTTGGTTTGAGATGTATGTTTGGATGGTTGAAAAAAGGCATTGCATAGTCCCTTGCTGGTGAATACAGCTGCAAAAAAAAAAAGACTTTGTTTTCCTGGTATGGCCTCATTTCTTCGTTTTCTCTGTGTTCCTTCTACGCGTCGGTCATCTGTCAGCTCTGCAGAGCCTGGCATGCTTCCTGCTCCGGCTGTGCTGGACTTCGTACACCTTTGTATCCCTCCGTGTACCTTGTTACTCAGACTTGTTGGTTTCCTCCTTGTGATTTTTTTTGGGGGGGCCAAAGACTTTGTTTTCCTGGTATGGCCTCATTTCTTCGTTTTCTCTGTGTTCCTTCTACGCGTCGGTCATCTGTCAGCTCTGCAGAGCCTGGCATGCTTCCTGCTCCGGCTGTGCTGGACTTCGTACACCTTTGTATCCCTCCGTGTACCTTGTTACTCAGACTTGTTGGTTTCCTCCTTGTGATTTTTTTTGGGGGGGCCAATCCATTTTCTACTCTTGGACACAGGTGAAGTTTTTTGGAGGTTATCTTCCTGCTTCTGATAATATCTCCTGCCCTGCACTTTAACCATACTAATTTCCTCTTTTATTTTCCCAAGACTTCTGGTGGAAGTATTTGCTCATAGCCCGTGGTGTTTTTAAATGGTGCCCGTGCTTCCTGCAAAGACTTAATTCATCTACCTGCCCCTTTTGGCTTAAACAAAAATCCTCATTTGTATCTTGTCCTCCTTTTTTAACTAAGCTCAGCCTGATGGATTTTTTTGGCTTCTGTTACTCCTGAAGGGGTTGAGTGTGTTATGGCCAGTGCTGAACGGCTGCCGTGTGGGCGCGTGGCACCTGCGTGGTGGCGAAGGAATGTTGTGGGACGTCTGAGCTGAGAGCAGAGGCTTGGAGCTGGGGCCACGCTGGGTGGGTCCGCGGGGGTGGCCGCTGTCTCGAGGGATCTGGGCCAGGACAAGCATTGCTGTTGTAACACTCGTATTTGGATTGCTGCATTTCTTTGCTGAGGAGGGGCATGGCAGTGGGGGGAAAAAAAAGGAAGACTTAAAAAAACAAAGTCATAATTAACTCTTAGGTGCAGTGTTTCTCTACAGGCACAATTGTTCTTTTTGCTTAATGGTATTTTTGAGGCAGTATCATTTTTTTAAGAAGGCTATAGGCTCTTGCAACTTGATTTTGTACAAATATATGTTCTTACAATGCAGCCATGAAAAAATATTATAAAGCAATGTTAGAGCTGGATTTCACATGTACACATGCATATGTAAAGTTGAAGAACTGTGGTTTCCATTTCTATTTCCAATGCATGTTGCTGTTCCATGAAACTTGAAAATCCATGGGTGATGTTTTAATGTGTGCAAATTTATTTTAGCTTTGTGCAACTGACAAAACGCTGGAGTTTGACAGAGACTTTCGAATCAAGCACTACGCTGGAGATGTGATGTGAGTTTCTTTCAGAAATAAAGTTGCACCTCCTATTTTTGTCTTTTAGCCAGCTTTGAAGTGGTACAGTATTCTAATTTAATGCTGTTTCTGGTATGAACCAGAATAGCTGTCATAGAGAATTACAGAGTGCAGCGATCGCTTATCAATTAAATCTTGTGCTGGTTACTTGCTATACAGAATATGATTTTGTACTTGGAATTGAAACAAAAGGAGACTGGGGGGGGAGTGAGGGGAGAGCAGTGCTTGAGGAGAAAAAAGAAGAAAAAAAAAAAAGCCAGCACTGTTTATGCAAGAAAGCTATAGTGAGCTAATAAAATCTGGTTTAGACATCTGTTTCGTGTGATTGTGTAACTCTCTAGCTTGAACTTCTCAGATCGGTTTGAGTAGACTCAGAACAGAGGGCAGTGTTAAGGCAAAATGAGTATTGGTGCAAGGAGCCTTGAGCCAGGTTGAAAAGTGTTCTGTGCCTGAAGCCTACAAAAATGGCTACAGTATGGGACAGTAATGTGGAGGAAGGTTGAGTAGAAGAGAAAGATGCCCAGATGTTAGAAACTCTTTGCTGGGAAAGCTGTTGTCTGAAATATCGCTGGAGTCATTTAATGGTTTAGGATTGGCGTAACTCCCCCTGCCAGCAGAATCTAAAGGGAGTTAATGAGGAAATAATTTAGGATTTCTTTTACATTGGGATTAAATTGACTTTTGATTGATAAGGGTAAGCAGTGGAATTGTGCTGGAGCCCATTTGGCACAGCTATAGTTTGTTCTGGAGTCTTTGCTGAATGATTGCTCGTAGAAATCACTGATTCCAAAGCTTTTTGCCAAGGAGGAGAAAATACGAGGTGGCTCAACCTTCTGCACTGCCAGGGGCTGAAGAAAATTGTAAAAGAAAACGAAAATGTGGAAATATTTGCAGATACTATTTGAGCCTGAACGGTGTTATGTGGAGCAGTAAGATTTGGGAGTGGCTCCCTGCAGGGATTTGAACGTTGTGGGGCTCTGGGTCGCAGTGCCTGCGGTTTAGGTGCAGGCTGCCTGGGGGACCTGAAACTCTGGAAGCAGCTGGGTGGGAGTCACTGAATTGGGAGAGTTTGGACCTGCTCCCTGAGGACAGAGCGCTGTCTGTCTTGAGTCTTGGAGAAGAAGTGAAACTCTGAAACAGTAATCTTTCAGGGTGGCATTTCTGTGGCAATAGAGAGAGTCCAAACTGTGTGTGTGTGTGTTGATTTCCAAGAGAGTTCCCCAGGCACTGGATATAGGCTGATCCTGGTTTCAGGCACTCGCCCACTAGAGAGTCTTGCTTGACACCAAGAGAGGGACAGACTAGACGTATTGAAAAGGAAACAATTTCTGTAGGATATCACAACACGAACACATGTTTGTTAGCACAAACACATGCTCTGAATTTGGAGGCAGAATTCATGAGTGTAACTCTGGAATTTGGGCCATCTTCAGGACATGGTTTAGCAGGCATGGTGGTGTTGGGGTGATGATCGGACTTGATGATCTTAGAGGCCTTTTCCAGCCTTAATGATTCTATGATCTTGCTCAAGTCCTGCTAGCTGTCTCAGCCATCATGCTCTTCATCTGCATAGTTCAAACAGCTTTCTGAAATGTTACGTGTGCTGTTCCTGCACCGGAGGTGGAAAGCTGGGCAGAAGGATCTAAGTCTCACACAGTGTTCATGCAGCAAATTAGTGATAGGTTGGGAAACAGAGCTGGATTCCTGATTAGCATCTGCTGTGTCTGTGGGAGTGCAAGGATGCTGATTCCACACTGATACCAGCAGCTCAGAGGAGGACTTTGCTGCTTTGCAATTAACTCTGTTTTCCATTTTTGTAGTTACTCAGTCACTGGATTTATTGACAAAAACAAGGACACTTTATTTCAAGACTTCAAGCGCCTCATGTACAACAGGTAGGAATAAAAATATTAATGAGATGAATTTAAATCTGGTTTGTGAGAATCCTTTTTTATAGAGTGGATGCCAGCAGACACGAATGCTTTCACTGATGCTGTGTTTACTGTGTGTGCAGTGCATGTGAATAAACACATTGCTTTGGGATTTCATCTTTGTATGTCTACCGCAGCCTGAAGGCTGATGGTTGGATTTTTCAGGATGAAGTCCTTACTCTGTACTTGCTGGTTTTGTTCTGATATAACCTTTAATTTAACTAAATTTAAAGTGTTTGTTTGAAACCAACTCATTGTGCAATCCAGATAGCCATGCAGAGATGACCTGTGCTGCTGGATTTGTCATTAACCAGGTTTTTGGACCACCTACAAGTGTACCATTACTGATCTCTCTTTAATCAATGCTAAAGACACTGAGAAGCATTTGGTCGACAGCAGCTATCACCAGCCCCAGCCAGAACAGGGACGTTGTGAGAGAAAGTATAGGGGTGAGGGTGAAAGTAGGCAAATAGGTTTGAATCCTTTTTGTATGTGCAGTGACATGAAAACTTTAAACCGTGTAGTCACGTGTTATAAACACTGATTAGGCAAGTAGAAGTTGCCTTTGACAAGCAAATTTGAAATCCTATCAAAATGTGTGTGTGTATATGTAAGTGCCCCAGAAAGCTGTTTTCCTTGACTGCTGGCATAAATATGTTCTAATTCTTTGGTGACTGTGGCCTGTCTCAACCTTTCAGAGACTTTGCTCAGAGGTAGAAGTCAGCACAAAGCCTGCAGCTGCATGGACAGCTCTGTTTGCCTGCTTTAAAAGCTAGTGCAACTATTAACTTAGTTTACAGTCCTGTTCTGTTTACTCAGTGCACTCCCTTGAACAGTCTTGCTGTTTGTGTTTGGAAGACATCACATTAACCAAAAACCTCCAAAATATTTGCTGTATGGAGGTTTTATTAAATTTAGCCTCAGTTTCCGTGAAGTCTTTGGTAAAGATGGTTCACAAAGACCACTTACAGCATATTAAAGCATGTGATAGATTTACTATTGGATTGCTGTAACTGCTTTCAGCTTTTGTCTGTTCCAGAGCTCTTGCCATCCATCATGGCCGTCTTACCTCACCTTCAACCCTTCAAGAAAATATAGGCTAAAATGTATAAATTATTTTCTATGTCAAGAATGGTGCAGAAATACAGCTTGAAATCAGATAGCAAGTTTCAAGGGAGGATGTTGTGGGCCGTGGTCTTACCTTTTTCTGTTTTGATTAAAATCTTTATGTTTGTGTCAGTAAGGCAGACTCTGCTTTTGATAGATCACTTCTGCAGGAGTTTTACTATCCCATTAGTGCACATCTTTATCTGAAGAGGAGAATGCCCTTGTCATTTTTCCAGAATATTTGGTTGTGAGCTTGAGCCGTGTATTTATTGCTCAAGAGCAAGAGGTGTTTTGCCCAGGAATGTCATATTGGTTTGGCTGATATATTTTGAGCTGAAAACACCACTAGATCTGGACAGAAGCAAGCTGTTGGATTTTGAATTTAGTGGAAGTGCTGTTAGACTGTGCAATTAAAGAGACTGTCTTTTAGCTCTAACCCTGTGTTGAAGATGATGTGGCCTGAAGGTAAACTGAGCATCACTGAGGTAACCAAGAGACCTCTGACAGCTGCTACTCTTTTTAAGAACTCCATGATTGCGCTAGTGGACAACCTGGCATCGAAGGTAAATATTTCTCTTTCAAAATCGACTCCAACTTCTGATTCGTTAGGGGGTAGCTGCTCCACGGAGAGACTGACGCCTTCCTATCACTGCGATCACTCGGTAAGCCGAGCGCATCAGTGGCAGCTGAGCTTTGGTTGTAGCAGTGGGCAGCGGTGAAGATCTCACAGGAGCATTAGCTGCCACCCCCACATAAAGATGGTGGATTTTTGTTTCCTCTGTGACCAGTGTATCTTTCATTTGTAGGAAAGGCAGTCTCTCTTAGGTAATAATTATTATATCAAATAAATAATCATCTTTAACAAAGCTCTTTTGGCAGAGGGCCCAGGGGATGTAGTTTCACGGTGGAGAGATTCTTTCTTTCTGACTTTTAATGCCAAGTGACTTCTGTGAAAATACAGGCAGAGCTGTGTGGTTTCCTTCTTTCCTCCTCTTTGCTGTGTCAGAGGATGAGAAGTGAAGCCTTTAATTTTACTAAATAATGAAGTTTTATGGTAGAAGGAGTTGCTCTGGCAAAGCACCGCTTTCTGGGAAGGAAGGTAGGGAAGAGGATGGACTGGGAAGGGGGCTGTGTGAACGCGGTGCAGCCGAGCGGCAGGATGAGGCGAGCAGTGCGATCCCTCATGCGAGCAGAGATCACTGAGAAATATTTGGGTGTTACTGATGCCAGGTGCCCTTGCTGGACCTCGTAACCTAAATTTGGTACAATGATGTCAAGAACCCAGAGAGACTTCTCTGTGTGTTGTGAAAATAAGTAGATGGGGAAGGAGAAAGGCTTGTTGTTAATGCAGTTCTCTGTCGTACGGAGCAGTCACGTTGTCTCTTGACTAGCCAGACGGGCAGGGAACCTGACGCACCGCAGTGAGGTGTTTGAGGCAATACAGACAGAAACTGCTGGGGGTGTTGTGGTGGAGAGCTGTGATCAAGGGGGGACAGCAGGCAGCTGCTGGTGGGGAGCTTCAGCAAGCACTCATGGAAAAACTTCGGTGGCTTGTTTATTGGAAAAATTATCGTAGGCCACCTGGTATTTGTAAAGATAGAGTAGTCAGGAGAATGCCGTGCACTGTGGTGGTTTGAACAATTGCTGCAACGCACAGCAGGAGATGAAGAGTTTTAATTGCACATTATCCATCTTGAGTCAGTAGGTACCAAAATTCATCACTGAAGGCTGGCTGGCTTATGTGGAATGAGTTCATTTCAGTCTGTTTGTCATCAGTATCTCTGTCGCAAATGCCAGCCTTTTCCAAGGTTAGGCCGTAATCAGGAACTGTTTCCAAGTCAAATTTAAGCTCGCAAAGTCACTAGGAGGTTCCTGTGTGTCTCTCGCTGTAGTCCTTTCCCATTCTTTACCTCCTCTGAACTTTGACTGAGAAACTTGCATTGAAGGTGTTGGGGTTTTCCTGATTTTTGGTTGAACGGCAATGGAGAAAATTGTCTTCGAGCATTGTATTTCCCAGAGAGGGATGGATCCCCTTGGAGGGAAGGCTCTCGTTAGATGGGTGTATTTGTCAGGACTTAGCAAGGGCTCTTGCCAAGCAGGAAGGAGCCAAGGGCTGTCGTGGCTGTGCAGTGTTTTGTGGCCAACTTTTGGCATCATGGAGGGCTGGAACGAAGGGAGTGGAGTTCACACTTCGGAGTCTGCCGTTTGGAAGTTTACATGGCTAATGCTCCTGGCAGAACAGTGTTTGTAGCTACTTCAGTTTGCAAACTAAGTGATGTAGTTGAGCTTTAGGTTTTTTTAGTGGAGATCCTGACTGTTACACATCTTAAAAACCAAAAAATTTGGTGAGCTCCATCCTGAAGTGAACCTTTATGTGACTTTAAAGGGTCTAAATTTTGGTGTGTCCTAGAAAGGAGAGGTTGCTGGAATCAGGGTCTTGAACACGATCATTGTGTACTTCAAATGGTAAAACAGAGTGCAGAGAGGTAGCGCTGCTGTTTGGCCATTCTGCCTGTCTTTGAGGTGACTTTTTGGACAGTTAATCGTATGTGCATGCTGTCAGCAAGCTAAGAACTGGGCGTTCAAGCCGTGCTGTGCTGGAGAATGGCTGTGCACAAAGGAGTGGGATGCTCTGCCTCTGAGTCACTGCCAGTGTGGATACTTGTCTCTCTGACTTCTGCGGGGGGCTGGAGAGCGGGTGGACAGTTGCTGTTCTGGGGTGGTGAAACCACTGTCTCTTCTGGGGACACCACTCACTGCAGTTACGGGTCCTGTCATTCTTCCCTTGGGTCGTGTTACTCATTTTTCCCGTGCTTAGCTTGGGACCGGAGTTGCACTTTTGGGGATCAACACTGACAACGTCTTTGTGTCTGACTGCGGTTTGGACCCTGCAGGACTTTTTTTGGGAAGCCTGTGGTAACAGCTGGTGAAAACAGCTCTCTGAAAGCAGCCTTGCACAAGCGGTGGTAGCTGCTGTGGTCTACGGGCGTCAGAGGAATAAGGTTCCACAGGGAGAGGTAATATCAGTTCATGTTTTTCTCAGCTGTTTCTCAGAAAACCAAGATGAAGATAGGCTTGAACTGTGTTGCAGTTGGAGCTAATGATTTATTGGCATTACTGGAGTGTGCCCAGTACATAAGTGCAGTCAGTGCTGCTTTTCTCATTCCGGCCTCCCATTCCACCTGGGCTGCTCTTGCTTGCTTTAAACCATATTTACGTGCTCTATTTCTACAGTCCTCAAACAGAACGGCAGTCCAAGAGCTGCTCTGCATTGATACTCATTTGGCCTTCCTGGAAAGCTGCAGGTTTTTTGGCAGTATCACAGTATCAACAGTACCTTTATACCTCTCATTTGGAGGAATAGTCTCCAAAAGGGCTAATTTGGTGGGCAGGAATAATAATAATGTCAGAAACAAAGCTCAGGGTCTGTGAATACAGTACCTGCAGCATTAGTTGGTTATTTAACTCTTCTGGTACTTAAAATAACCACCTTTAAAATTCTGTTTTGTTGATATTCCGGTTTAAATCTGGAATTTGGTGATGAAGCAGAGTTCTGCGGTCCCTGAGAGGAAGGGGCGGGTGGTGTGGTCGTTAGGGTGTCGGAGGCTGCCGTTAGGGTGAGTAGCGTAGAAGTGTTGTTAACACTGCAGGAGCTGTTCACAAATATAGTTTTAACTTCAGCTTGTGCATACACGTGTCCATACAAGTATGAAGACTCAGGAAATATGTTTTTGGAGGGTGCTGCATTGAAGTGGCACTTAGCACTACTGGTATCTCAGTAACACTGAAATCCTCCGGGGTTACACTGAGAATCTTCTGGGCAGAAACCTCTGATAGGTAGAAAAAAGTGCTTTTTGTCAAAAAACAAACCAACCAAAACAAAAACTAGCTTTACAGAGTTGCCCTGTAACATTTCTCAAGCGCGTGTTTTACTGCCTGTGCCGTTTGCTTGAGGATTTGGTCTTTCTGTGATGGATTCCTATGGGTGGCTTTTCCTTTAAATGCTGACACGGGAAGTCCTTTGGCTGACATGGCTGTAAATGATGAGCTTCTCTAGGAACTCTCTGTGGATATGCATCTCTTTTTTATTTATTTACTTATTTTTCTTTTTTTTTTCCCCCCTCCTTCTCTGTAGCTCCTTTTGTCTGACTCTTCTTTCTTCCATACCTCTCCTCTCCTATCCAGGTTGACAGGCTCATCTCTAGTAAGTTATAATGTCATCACTGTGACAGATTGGACATATCCAGTATGAATTTGTCAGTCCTGTGTCCTATCTCTTCCCTCATCTAATGAACTATAAAGTATGGGAAAGAAATCTCTCAAGAAGGAGTTTGTTTAGGGTGCAATGACTTTAAACAGGTTTGTTTTCTTTTTAACACTTAAAAATCTAAAAATCACTCAGCTTGATTTGAAAAAAAAATCAGTTGCATTTAGCATCTAAACAGCTTTCAGAACTGGGCCCTTTGTGTCTCTGTATTTCAGTTCTTCCATTTATAAAATGCAGCTCCCGGGCTTGACAGCCTCATGGTGCAATAATGGGAGCTGCATAATTATCCCCCTGAAGAGCTGAGGCTGGTGGGATTGTAAGCATGGAATAATCTACTTTAGAATTTACCCTAGTAGCTGTCATTGCTGAGAGGCTTTAATTACACTGTAATTGCACTGATAGATGATCTCCTGTCTGTGCAGGAACTTCCTATTTCTGTTTTCCAAAAGGAAAGCAGCGTCTTGACTTCTGCCTTTTGTATAAAATGCAGATACAGTCACTCCTCTTTGTTCTGGGCTAGAAGTCAGAGATTTTTTACACTGAAGTTTGTTGTGGTTTTGAATGGCAAAGACATGAATGACAACCCGCGCAGCCAGCTTTGCAGCGATGAAGGGAGTTTGTGTGTTAGCAATAATGAATGGCTGTGGACTGGACACTGTAATTTCAGTAATGAGCGAGTGACAGCATTTCCCTTGAGGCAAAGGGGTGGGATGCACTGTCTTGACTTCAAGCTCCTAATGACTTCTTTAATTTGGTTCTTGTGTTCTCGAGGTGTTGCAATTCTGTTGATCAAACGTAGAATATTTGTGATACAGAATCACAGAACGATTTGGGTTGGAAGCGACCTTATAGATCCCTTCAACCCCCCTGCCATGGGCAGCGACCCCTTCCACCAGCCCAGGGTGCTCCAAGCCCCGTCCAGCCTGGCCTTGAACACTGCCAGGGAGGGGGCAGGCAGCCACAGCTTCTCTGGGCAACCTGGGCCAGGGCCTCTCCACCCTCAGAGAAGAACGTTTCTTGCTTCTATCCAATCTAAATCTCCCCTCTTTCAGCTTAAAGCCATTACCCCTTGTCCTATCACTCCATGCCCTTATAGTAAGTCCCTCTCCAGCTTTTTTGTAGGCCCCTTCAGATACTGGATCATTTAGGTTGGAAAAGACCTCTAAGATCATAGAGTCCAACCATCATAGTGTCAGTCTCATCAAAGGATTTATATTCATCTTGACATCAAATGCAGCACAACGGTATTGAGGGCAGAGCTGGCGTGGTCTGGCATCGTTCTAGCACCAGTGACCCTGTTGCTAACACTGGGATAGGTCTGTCCTTAGGGTGACCAGCGTGTGGATGGAGACATGGCCCAAGCTGAATATTAGCAAGAGGGAATGGGGAGAACTGCAGACCATTCACCTTCACAGCTGCAGACTTTCACAGCTTCTAAGTTCAGGTATAATTCAGGGAGTTCTCTCTATATCCTTCATCTTCCCTAAACAGCTGATTTCCAGTCATGTAGGAGACTTGTTCAGGCAGGTGAATGACCTGGCCTTTGTTTCTTGTCGTACAACTGAGAGATTGCAATACAGAGCTTATAAATTGCAGGCATCAAGTCCAGCAAACTCACACTCCTCATCAGTGTTGTTTGACACGTCACACCTACTTCAACACCAATTTGAAGTCGGAAAGGGCTGCTTCTGCCTTCAGAGTTTGACACACAATGTCTGAGAGAGCGTGAGGAGCGCCGATGACAGCTGCGTTCCCCTGGCACAGCCAAGCTCTACAACTGAAGGAAAAATCATCACCCACGCAGACTGCAAGTTCTGAGAGCTGGTAGGAGACTGTTGAGTGAATAAAGACCCTTGTGAACCTTCTTACCTTCAGCACAGAGATAATTTTCAGGAGCAAGCCAAAAAAGTTAATACGTAAATGTCTTAAAACTCTTTAAATTGTACCAGCACATTGTATTTCACCATTCTCTCCTTAAGGCAAGGCAAGCAAAGAGAATAGGTAGGGGTTGTGTTGAATTACTGTGGCAGAAGAAAGTGCTCAGTGTAGTGGTGACCTTGGTAGAAGACCTCACACAGCAGAGCTGTTGCTTGGCTTGCTGGTGTCCTGGGAAGCTGTGTCCTTAGTGTTCTTTCCTTTTGGAGCCCACCACTCTCTGAGATATGGGAACAGCAGGATGAAGAGGTCACTGCCTTAGCAGAGGGCTCAGCCGGTTATTGGGAAGCAGGGCAAGTTTTCTCCATTGCGTGTGGCTTTGCCTCAGTCTCCCTGGTAAGGAAGGAAGCCAAACGAGACCGTGAAGGAGCTATCCCTGACACATTCTGGGGAGAGATGAAGTCACCAGGGGAGAAGGGAGGTGATGTAAGAACGTATATTACCCACACACCTTGCCGTTTACCCGCGCAGTCCCCATACCTGCTTACGCACTGCTGGGTTGCTGCGTGGAGGGTAGGCAGCGCAGGGGTGCTGCCAGCTCTTGTAGGGGTGGTTGGCTTAGGTTCCGCTCGCTCTCTTCAGTGCTGTATATTCCTGCCCCAAGGACAGCCCTCCAGGAGAAAAGCACGGCCTGATGCTACTGATCGCGTGCTAAAGAAAGCAGGGAAACGTTCCAGTCCAACACCTTCCCCAGAAGGTCCACTGGCTCCTATCAGTTCCTGGGACACGGGGCTCTACGTTTCCAAGGCCTCCATGTCTTCGCCTGTACATTACGTGTATTTAGCCATGTCGTGCTCATTAGTGAGTGGGAGCTCCGTGTGCCTGTCACTGGTGCTGCGTACCTCCAGGTTATGTCAGGACTAGTCAGGGTATTCAAGTATGGTCCTGTTTCTTCGACATTGCTGGAGAGAAAACAGCAATTTTGGGCCTTTCATATTATCCTGAGATTAGCTAAGTGACCTAAAATCATAGAAAATAGGGCTAAATCATAGACAAATCATAGAAAATAGGGCTAAAGGGGAGCGTGGGAATTTATCTCCTGTTTGAGGACAACTTTGCCTCTACCTTTTCTGTGCAGGTGCTTGTTCAGGTAGTTCTTCTCCAGTGATGGACGTTCGCCTCCTTTCCGCAGGCGTTCTGCTCCCATTCCTTGTTCTCCTGATGCCTAATTTGAATTTTTATGATGTAGTTAAAGGCAGTGCTTCTTTGACCTAAAACTGAATATTTACTTTTCTTCATATCTACCCTTGAAGTGTATAAAATCTAACATTGGGATGGTAATGTGGCTCCTCAGTCCTTCAAGACTGAAACCATGTTTCCTCTGAGTCATATTTTCTGGATTTTTGATCTTTCTTGTTCTTCTATGAACTGACTCACCGCCGTTTGCATCCCACTTGAACTGCAGTGCACCGAACTGAACGTAATGTTCAGAGGAGGAGAGATCTGTTGGGTGTTTTGGTCTTGCAGTTTTCCTGTTCCTGTGCTCCTGCTTTAGAAAAACATCAACTTGACTCAAGTTCAGCTAGAAATCCTAGAGTTTTTTTTAGCACTAGTTACAAATCAGTTTTTCGTTCTTTTATTATACAACGATTTCTGCCGAAATGTGGAACCCTGCATTTGTCCTCACTAAATTAATACTCTCCCCCTCCCCTCCCCAACCACTCCTCCCATTTGTTAATGTTGTGAGTGCTTGCACTCTGAAACCTCATACTGCCTACAGATTTGGTACCCACGTTGTGGTCTTTCCCTCAAATCACTGTTGAAACCATCCGGTCGTGCTGGAACAGAGCAGACTCCTTTGGAGAACCCGGAGGGTTTCCCTTTGGAGCAAGCGCTTTGGTTACTCAGAGCACAGTTTTACAGAGGGTTTCACAGCCAACTGTTTCATCTAGTCCAGCGTTGCGGAAATTTCGTTAATTATCAGTTGTGATAACGAAAGTTGAAATCTTCTAAAGTGAAGATTTCAGACAGGCTGCTTATCTCCCTTTGTCCTAATGTCAGTATTGCTATAAGCTGATTTTTTAAATGCTCCCATTTAAGTGTGCCTTTGACATGTCCTCTGAAGGAAGTCTCTGGGCTTACTGGGACGTTCTGAGCTGACTGGGATCCTTGTTGAAGTCCCCTCCTTGGCTAGTGATGGCCAACCTGCAGAATATGCTACTCCTTTTGCAAGGGCCAGTTAAAAAATAATATATATTATTGTTATAATAATAGGATTTTACCTTGAAAATTAAGGTGGCCTTTATGATGCTGATTGCTTTCCCCCCCACTAGTAAAGTTAGAAGTGGGACAGCAAGGGCTAGCAATGAAGAAAAAGAAAGGAATGGACTTCAAAAGCCGTTGTGATGAAAGCACACACATTTAAAAGACTTGTAGCCGCCCTTTACAGGCTGGTGCTAGTTATAGACCATGCTGCCCTAAATGAAAGTTGCCTTTAATCTCATAAAAATAAAAGTAAACATCAAAACAGTCTAGCAGGGCTGTACAGGGGCTTATCTCATGGGTGGGGGCTGGCTGGCAGTGGAAGGTGTGCGGCCCTGTGGGACTCTCCCCTGAGCTGGCCCTGTCAGCCCGGCCAGCTCGGGGCAGGACCACCCGGGCTGTGCTGGGTCGAGTAAAGCCACCAGTCCCCGTTCAACGTTCTCCCCTGCCTGCACGTCCAGGGCGGTGCAGAAAGAGGAGCTCACGTGCTGGCGGCTTGTGTTTGTCCTGTGGAAGGTGTGGTGCTGAGCTGGGACGGAGGGTGGCTGGGTTCTGCCCAGCACAGGGCAGCGTTCGGTCATTTCCATCATTCAAGCATGTTGCTGCAGACTGTAGAGGACTTGATTCAACGTAGTTGAAATATCATGGAGTAATCCGTGCTGCTTTTAGATGCTGATGCTGGAAAAGCCATATCTGACAGTCAGGGCAATGAATTACATTGTTCTATGTTTTTATGAAGACTGCCTTTGTTATTGTCAAAGTCTGTAGAGAAGGGGGATGTGGAACTGGTTCTGACACAGAGCAAAGGACAGTCGAAGTGGAGCGAGTAGCCCATGGATCCTGCAACAGATGTCGTTGCAGTGCGTGAAGGGGAGGAACGTGTTATGTGCCACCCTTGTCATTTCTGTTCTAACCTTGTAATTCCTGTTAAGCAACCAAACCTTGCTCAGGTGCCTGGGGTGGGCTGACATCTCAATGCTTTCGCGAGGAAGCAGTTGTGTCTGCACAGACTTTTTTCTTTCTGAGTGAAAATTTGTTTTGGTTTGATTTGTCGCCTTAGGAACCCTATTACGTCCGTTGCATTAAGCCCAACGATAAGAAGTCACCACAGCTTTTTGACGAGGAGCGTTGCAGGCATCAGGTCGAATACCTTGGCCTTCTGGAGAACGTGAGAGTCCGCCGAGCAGGCTTTGCCTACCGCCAAACGTACGAGAAGTTTCTTCACAGGTAAGAGCAGCACTGGCAAGCGACTCGGTTCAGCTCTTTGCAGGACAACTCAGCCGCTGGAAGAAGGTGTTTGGTTTGGCCATCTCCCCTTGCATGAAGAGTAAATCTTGATTCCTCTGGGCTTGTGATCCTCAGTCTTGAGTGTATGGGTGGTGGAGTGGTTGGTTGAATATCTGCTGTTGGGTGTGATAAAACAGGAGTCTGGCAGGGACAGGGACTGTGGCTGCGCTCGTTTTGTGGCAGCAGATGTGTTTAGAGGTGTGTATGTGGCACTCAGGCTCAACTTCTTCTCTGTTAAAAGTTGTTTGCTGTATTACTCTCTGCACCAGGAACGTGTAATGAGTTTCTGCCCCAGAGCATAACCCTAAAACCAGAACCAATTAGCTGCTCTTTTCTCTGAACATTGTCTAATTGTTGCAGCGAGAGAGACAGACGGACATTGTGTGTCTGGGGAAGTGCTTGGTGGCGCGCAGTGACATTACGCATGTGCAGGAGGAAACCTCTGGACTTTAAAACTGGAAGTCTGAAAAAGGCACAGTAACATGTCTCCATTAAAACATGTGTTTGATACAACTTGCCCTCTTAATTCCTACCAGACTTGTGACAAATGAATGATTTTAGATTGAAATTTGTCTTACGGCTTCAGTAAATTAGCGCAAGTACTAGGAATTCAGCTTCTTGCTGATGAGACAGTGAATTGAGTTTTACTTCGTTATTGAATCAGGTGAGAAAAAGGCCGAGAGGGTAGAAAAAAATTGAACTGTTCAAGTAGGTGGGATGTCATGCGGTAGAAACAAAGTGCTGTTGAAAGATCTTTTGCTGCTCACAGTGGAGATCTGCCTGGACGTTTCGTGATACCTGAAGTGGAACGAAAGGCTCTGGCTTCTAAATACAGCCTAGAGTGCTGTGTATCAGTTTTCTTAAACATTGTGCGGTGGTTAGAGTGTGCTTTCACCCTCACATGTGGAATTCATTACAATTTACTCTTAAGATTTGTGTAATTACTATTAATATAAACAGCTGCCTTGTTTTTAATGAATGTTTGATGAGCTCCTGTAAGCTTAAGACCAGAAGTGGTGTTTACAGCCAGTAAACCAAATTAGCACATGGCAACTGGTACAGCTTCCAGGCTACTGTAACAGGTGTTCTGCCGGGCCGCGGAGCGGGATTAACATCTACAGTGTGAGGTATCAGACACTGCGTTTGCATACTGTGGTATTGCTCCAAGTCCAGTCTACACTGGCTTTTCCAAATTAAAAAAAAAAAATATCTTCTGGCCTGGATATTGTTTTTATTTTTTACAAAATCCTTTGTTCCTTGTCTTTGGGTGAGACATACCCTCTTACAGGGGCTGGAGGCTATGATTTGTGGTATAAGCCGCACATTTTTTGAGTGATTTTTGAACAGGGATCACAAGGGATTGGTGTTCCTTTATATTAACAGGCTTATTGGGAGCCTGGGAGCAGGCAGGAGACTCCAGGCCCTTCAGCTCTGGACTCTTGTGCTGCATGTGGGGCTCCTTTGGAGGCAGATCTAGAGTAACTCAATGAGAGGCAATTTTGGGACATAACTCTGTCATCTGATCTTATAAAAGTTCAGACCCGCAAACAGATGTTTAACTCCCTTACAGGCCCCTGAAGTTTTCAGATTTTCTGAGCCCAAAACAGATATTTGTGTTTTGTTCTGCTGATCCCTCTTAGAGGGGACAGGAGATACATATCAGGATATATATAGGTAGGAGATATACGTATATATGTGCAAGTGCAGGTATGCCTGTGTTTTTCATATATATGTATACATGTGTGTATAAAAACATACAAAAAGTAACTTTCTGTAGGAAAAGAATTTGTTGCTACTTAGCCCTGAAGTACTCTAAGGTAGTTGATATCTCATCTACCAGTAGGAAGTGAAGCACAGTTAAAACCATTAATAAATTTCCTTTTCAAGCTTTCCTTGAAACAAAGAAAACTTTTATTTGAGCGCTATGCAAACCAGTCTGCCCTTACCAATTTGTAGAAAATAAGATCTAAATACTTTTTTGTTGGACAAGAGTTGTTACGCGTTCACTTGGTAGCTACATCTTCCAGTTGGGTGAAATGTGTGTCAAGACCATGTGCCTCGAATAGAAGTGACACATTCTTTTGTTCTAATAGATAACTCGGTATCAAAAAATAGGCTGATTGGGTATGAAGGCATCCACATGCCTATTTCCAGGCAGGGCTAAACATCGCGTGTAAACGACACGGAGATAGCTGGGGCCTGGGACAGTATGGCCCTGCTTCACGTGCAGACCTGGTGTTTTTCATTAAAGCTTCATAATTCGGTGACTTGCAAAAATCTTCGTCGTTAGGAGAGCTGAACTGGGAGTTGTAAAGTCCAGTAGCAACCTCGTGCATGTCGGGTGTTTCTCTAGCGAAGTATGGAGTAGAAGGAGGAGAAACAAAGGTGATGTAGGAATGGATGTTTGATGTTGAAGTGACCTTGAAAGCTGTTGGGATCTCCAGGCAGGAGAGGGGAAGGGTTGTGGTGCCAGTGAGCAGATCTATTTGGGGTTGTGCCTCGCTATAATTAGCAGCAAGGATGGGATCTGGACTTGCTGCGGCATCGCGGTCGTGCGCTCCGCTGCGGGGAAGGAGTCTGTGGCATCGCGCTGCACGTGCCGCGGGGGGAACAAAAGGGTGCCCCGACGTTGCCACCGCCTGTGGGCTGCGAGCGAGGTGGTCGGCTTGCCTTGGGATGGCTTTAAATACTGCAGCCCTGGCGCTGTTGTAACGGGGGAGGAGAATTTAACATTTCTTTGAGCAGGTTTTCAGGTCTGTGACCATCCCATCCCTTTTTATTCCGGCCCCATCGGCAGAGCAGGCTCGTGTAAATGTCTCAATCTTCAAATGGAAGATTTTCCTGATTAATTAATTATTGCAGGAACATTTTCCTCATGAGAATAGGAAAAAGAAACCAGTATAAAATATTTATGTCCTATGTATACACGTATTAGAACGAAAGCTTTTGCCAGCCAAGTATAAAGGCAAAATCTTCTTTTGTGAGTCTGAAGAGGGGTTCTTTATATGCCCGTTATATTTGTCAAGAAGATCCCTAGTCCTCATGCTGTAACCCTCATGCTGATGGTGTTTACTGCTTAGGCTCAGTGTGCACCTCCATTTTTTCCCCTCTTCAGCAGCTTATTCAGAAAGGCTAATTCGATGAATGAAAGCAAGCGTGTGATGTACTTCCATTCAGGCTTAGTCTGTCGAGTAACTCCTTCAGTGCACCCACCCCCAGTGAAAAGGTTTATTGCCGCCTCGGTCTAACAGTAGCTGAAAATTCTGAGTGTCTGAAACATGGAGATTGATGTTGGGCTTGGATTGTGGGCTTTTAAACAGAAAAGTGGTTAAGATTGCTGCATGCTTGTTTTATTTAGAACATGAATGCGGGTACTATTACAGTGAAAATGTCTATTACATTTTTGATTGTGCCCATAAATCTTATGCAGAAAATTCATTGTTGCTTTTTGCCAACGTCTGTTCACCTAATCAGCACTTCGCAAGGCTGGTAGATCTGACAGAGAGCAGAGTCTGACGCAGTTATTTCCATGTTTGATTTGTAGTTGTCTTAGTTCCAGTCTTAGGGTAAAAAGGAGTTTGGAGAGTGAGGATGGGAGGGAACAACAGTCGTGGTGTTGGCACGAACTGTGGCAGTCAACTGTCTGCGACTTTGGTCAATAACGGAATTTGTTAGAAATGGATACCACAATGATCAGAATTTTTCAGTTGAAGTTTTCTGACAAAACACTCGATTACAATTGGCTTCTTATGCAGAATGTGAGGAAACAAAGCTTTTCTTCCTCGCAAAAACAAAACAAAAAAATCGATTGCTGAAAGTGTGAATAATGGGACTGCCAAGTCTGCAGGAAGGCAGCGGTGAGGCTTGGCGTGTTGCACGCAGTGAGCTCCTCGCAAGGGGTTGGTTTTTTCAGTGTCCCGCAAAATCATGCCTCTCTTGTGTCAATTTTCCTTGGATTGTGAGGGTCACGATTCCTACATCGGATGTCTTGAGCTGCTTCTGTCTAATCAGTTTTATTAGAATGTAGATCATAATTATTCCTAAAACGTGTTGAAGGTTGGCCTGCTTGAGAACCCAGATGACATTTTACATTTCTAAATTGTGCCTTGCAATTCCAGGTACAAGATGATCTCGGAATTCACCTGGCCAAACCATGACCTTCCTTCAGACAAAGATGCTGTGAAGAAGCTCATAGAGTGCCATGGATTTCAGCACGATGTTGCTTATGGCAAGACCAAGATTTTCATCCGCACGCCTCGAACTCTGTTCACCTTGGAGGAACTGCATGCCAAGATGCTTGTGAGGATTGTCCTCTTCCTGCAGAAGGTAAAGCTTAATTTACTGCATTAAAAACTCCGTTCAGGTGCCTTGCAACACCTTTGCGGCCTTTTCAGGCTCACTTGCAAAAGTGACAAGTCTGCACAAACGCTAGAATGCTGCGGTTTGGTTACTGCTTAATTTTTTTTAGAGCTCTTTCAGTAGTGCTCTCTGTAGCTGCATTGGAGGTTTGATGTGGTACAATGTACCGTGGGCTGTAGGACCTGTAAGATTGTTGGATACTGTTTAAAAAACCTGCTCTTTACTCAGTGACAGTAGGCTGCCTAGAAACTTAGAGGAACTTTTATGGGTCAGTGTAGAAGAGCGATGCACAGAAGGTATTGAGACAGGCTTACATGCGTAAAAGTTCATTAGTGGATCCGTAGCTGATGGTGTACATCGACTTTAATGGTAAAACTCTTGAGGGTGCAGGACCAGATGACCCACAGAGGTCCCTTCTGACCCCTAACATTCTGTGATTCTGTGAAAGGAGTGAGAGGGAACGACAGAGTGAGAAAAGGGATGGGGAAAACTCTCCCCCATGGCCAGCTAAGAAGAGAAGGGACAGGATCCCTAGATGAGCAGCCTCCCTGAGCGTCCTTTCTGGTGCAGACACGATCTCCCTCATCATACTATTCCATAAAGAATTACTGAGATTTTGTCAGGACCTGTGTCAAGTCCCTGTTGTTTTTTCTTATGATATTGTTAGTGCTGACTGGAGCATACAACGCCTGGGGACAGATGCTCGTGCATGTTGGTTTAATTAAGCTTTGAGCATCCAGATTACTGAGTCCCCTAATGTAAACCAAAACATGCAGCCGCGGGAGACAGAAACAAGGGGTGATTTGCACACTGGTGACAATCACTTCCCGTAAGAGCCTGCTGTAACATGCAGTATTGGGGTCTGCAGGTGCAAGCGTAGGAGAGTTACAGCACAGGAACAAGTGAAAACACTGCTGCAGAGGCTCTGGAAAACAGAGCTGGGGTGAACGAGTAGCAGAGGGAAAGGCACCCCACAGAACAGAGAGTAGGAGACCTGAGCATTACAAAGGGTAAGACACCTAAGGCGCTGTGCAATAGGACCTGTGCCCTTGTCTTTCCTCTCTGAACACGGGATTTGAGCTCGAGATCTTGCTGGTTTTACCCTCAGGATAAAGAATTTTACATTCTGTGACTTCAGGGCAAACACATTCTCAGACTTTGCTCCCTTCTAAGCCCCGGGAGTTTGTTGTGACTTGCCAGCTCCTAAATCATTTAAGTGTTTTTTGGGGCTACAACAACATAATAGAAGCTGGTTTTGTAACCTCAAAAGCAACATACACTGGGGGGGAAAAAGTACAAAAGCTAATTTTTAGTACTTGCTGAGACCTTTGTCCTGTATGTGATCTGTCTAGCAAAGAGCAACAACTTCGGACTTTCGCAGCTGCAGGAATGGTGGACCTGACTTTGTCCTGACTAGCAGGGAGGGTTGACTAGTTCAAGATTTTTAGAAATGTATTTCTTAAAACACGTTTTTCCTTTGTTGTTCTTGGAACTCGGGAAACAACAGAACTTCTGAAACCCTTTTTGCCCGTCAGAAATAGAAACTTCTTATAGATGGGTATAAAAGCTACACAGAGAGAAAGTCTGCTCTAGGGCTGTGCCGTTAACACAGGTTTGCACAAACTTTCTGAACCTGATGGACTGAATCACTTTTGGTGAAGAGTAAGCCCCTGAAGGAGAAGTTATCCCCTGCACGCTGTGATAGTTTTGTGAAGCACTCGTGTTTCTTGTGTTTGCGGTTTGTTTGATATGATTCCCTTTCTGGAAAGCAAAACAATTTGACCAGTATGGAAGGAGAAAGCGTCAAGTCCAGGGCTGCGTCTCTGTTGGTGTTTGTTGTGCCAGATTGCATGGTTTCTGTTTAGTAAGGAGGTCTGTACATTTCGTGTGTGTGTATGTGATCAGGTTTTCTGGAAATGCAAAGCTCAGGCTGCTTAAAGGGTGCAGGACCTGCCTGGTTTTGAGCTTTGTGCTTCAATGGTTTCTTTCCATTTCGTAGCAGTATTCTGCTTGCCCTGCTGGCGAGCTTCACGACGGCTTGCTTGGACTACTCACCATCTTCTACCAAGTCCCTTCCCTGGAAGGGGCAGCATACTTTGCCAGCAGCATATTCTGGCTTGTTCTTCTGCAGTGAAATGGGGCTGATCTGTGGGCCCCCTCTCATACACCTCTGTTAATATTTTTCTGGATTATTAGTTGCCCTTCCACCATGCTTGCTCCCTCTGGTTTCTCGGGAGGAGTTCCCCTGTTTGCAGCCACTTTTCTAAGCATGTTGGTCTCATTTGGTGCGTTCAGCCAGTTCGCTGGGTCATGCCAGTAATCTGGAGTCTCTCTGTCTTCTCATAGTGGTATGAGGCGAGCTAATGAGTTCCTCATTGAATACAGCTGCAGGGGGGACACCTTGCTCCCAGGTGACCCCACTTTTCATATTAAACATCTGAGGAATTGAGAGGTGACCTTTTTTGAAAATGAAAGGTGCAGTTACTGAAAAATCTTGAAAGACCCAGCCTGTCTGTGCTGTGGAAACAGATGATGTCTCGCTGCAAGGTGAGCACTGAAGGTCCTCCTGCAGATAAAATCCACCAAACAGTGGGAGGCACAATTTTGACAGCAACATGTCAGGTTTTGTGAGTTTGCTGGCCTTTCCTTTAGATGGAAACTTCAGAATTATAAAGTTTGGGCTGTGAACTGGACTAGGCTCAACAACCTTGGAGGAGAGCAGGGCTAAAGAATTTTGCCTCTAGAAGGTAAGTCCCTGGTTAGGAATAATTGATCAACTCTCTGGCTCTGTGAGTGATTTTGCTATAATGGTTTCATGGCATCAGGCATGCTGGATTATGTATAGAATAACTACAGTGCTTTTGGGGCTTCTCTTACTGCAACAATCAGCAAAAGTGACAGAAGTTAAATTCCTGGTCCGCGTTGCCCTGTGGCTTCACAAACCTCCCCCCTCTATTTTCTCCTCTCCCTGGAGTGGAGAGGGACTGATACAAGTCTACATGGAGATGTCTTTCTCTCTGCACACAGTATTCAAATAGGACGGGTGGAGTCTTCTTTTTGTTACCTCTCCGAGAGATCTCTAGTGAGATTCTGATTTCCCTGGTAAAAGATTAGTGGGGAGAACACAAACTCCTTCTCGAGTGCTCAAGGTACTGAAGACTTTGAAGAAAACTGGATGGCCAGAGCTCCTTTTCTCCAGCTTAACCCCACTGTGGTTCACCTGTATCTCTCTGTACTTACTGGGTGTTCTTCAGCCAGGCTCTGAAATCTTTGCCAAGTGATGGAGAGGAGCTCTTTAGAGCCTGGAGCTTGCAACTAAAGGCAAGAAACACTAATGAATCTAAATGCTTACTAACCAGCTCCTCAACAAAGGGGCAGGTGTTGGTGTACAAGACGCCTTGTGCAGTGTTAAATCTGTCTGGAAAATGCTTGAATTTTGCTTCCATTTTCTGTATTTCTCTTGGTTTACTGTTAGATCTCATCCTCTGCTCTGTATGGGATCCCTCCTGTGTTCAGGCACCCGCCGTGCTCTGCTGCCAGTAGATGGCGCAGCGGGAGACTGGCAGCGCTGGGCAGGGAGCAGTCGCACACAATAAAAAATAAAATCAACGGCAGGGACGGCAAATGTAATTTGTGCTGCATTTTCCTTACTTTAGTTTTGCCTATAAGAATCAAAGGCCGAGTAAGGCAAACTGTGATTCTTCTGAGAGTCGCGAGATTAGATCTAAAAGGAAAGAGAGAGGTTAACTTGATTTTAAAAAAAATATTTGAGCTTTCTGTTGCATGAGAGTTCCTCAAATTTGAATTTAGGAAAAGGAAGAGACAACTGGAGATACAATGTGTTATGACAGCAGGCACTTGTGTGATAAAAACTGAGGGAAAATGTGAGGCGTAGCCAGGAACATTTTTCTTTGCACAGGAATGCTTTTAAATGAAAGAAGGAACTGCGTATAATGCATACAGCAATTCAGTGTCTTGGTAGTTTTACGTGTACATCTTCATTTCCAGTGATATATGTTATGTGGTGTATTGCTCTCATACAAATCGCAAGACTTTCAATAAGAGATTCAGTAATTATCTGAAGAGCTTCGTTGTGTGGGTAACCCTTAACCCTTAAAATAATGCCAGTTCCTTTGTTTAGCAACGATAAGAATTTGCTTCATATAAGATTTGGTTAAATTGAATTAAAATCGACTTCGAGTTTAAGTAGATAATTTTACTTTCTTTTGTTCCACGTCTCCTGAATGTCTTCTCCTTTAGCTTTATCGTCAATGCTCCTTTTTTTTCTGTGATAAAATGTTAGTGGGATTCCAGGCTGTGATTTTGCTTCAGACCGAACCAAGTCAGTAAGCAGATGTGATGTGATTTAACCGTGGCAACTTGCTGGCTCCAGGAGGATTTAGCAAGTGAGAGCGGTCCGGTATTAGAAAAACCCATATGGCAGTGGAGACGTCGCTGTCGGAGTCAACTCGAGTGGTCATTTTAGAAGCACCAGCTGAGAACATCACTGCTTGTTATGTGGTGCGTGGGACGTTATTTACTATACCTGTGGTCCTGCCATCTATATGATTGTCTTCATGAATGCAAATGGGCCAGCTCTAATGTTAATAATAAACCTAAGAAATTAAATTTTAAAAAAGCTGCCATAAAACCCCGTTGCTTTTTCTGCCCATGGAAACATTCCCACATACTCATTAGCTTTGCAGAATAGTGCTTTGTTCGAGAAAAAAAGCCCAGCCAGCCAGCACGTGCAGTATGCAAAGATGATGTATCTTGTCAATATAATTTAGTGCACTATTTCAGGGTAATTTTATCAGACCAGTACAGCTGCATATGGTAATCGCTTCACTAAATCTTTACTGCCTAATGCAGGGGAAGCAAGAATTACCCTTGCGTTGCAGCCCCTCCTCGGACAAAATCCCGTGTGGATGGAGGCCCGGGAGGTGAAAAAGGCTGCTCTCGGGAGA